GAACCAGCGGCAGAAAATTGCTCAATGTTAGAATGAAGAGAGGTGTGATGCTTACCCACGCATACTTGGCAACGCTTAGTGGACTTACACGCGGTAGCAGAGTGAGGATCCAAACAGTTGTAACATAGGTGCTTCTCAGTGACCAGCTGCTTCCTCTCTCGAGGATTCATACCCTTAAATATGGAGCAAAAGAGTAGTGGATGCTCCTTCTTGCAAATGGCGCATCGTTGAGTGCTGCGACTGGACGTAGACGTAGCGTGCGACCTTACGCGCGCATAGGAATTTATCGACGCTCCCTTTTCCAGTTTTGGTGCTCCTGATGGATCGCTGGACGCCGCCGATGAAATGGCCGAACCTTCCACAGCCTCCAGTGCTCTTATTCTTGTGATGAGGAAGGTTATGAGCTCTTCAAATGTAGAAGGTTCGGTTGACGCTCCGACGTGTGATTCCCAAGCCATCCTGGTTTTGGGGTCCAATTTTCTGGCGATGACAAAGACCAGCCAATCGTCCCAATGCTTGACTGGCCGCTTCAAAGCTTCGAAGGCTTGAACCGAATCGGTAGTGCCGTCAACCAACCCCTTCAACTCTTGTGCGAACTCCTTCTTCATCGTAGGGTGAGACGTTAACGATGTGAGCTGGGCGTGAATCAGCACTCGTAGATTTTGATACCTTTCGGTAATAGACCGCCAGGTGCGCTCAAAATTATCACCAGTAACAGAAATGTTTTGTAGTAACAGAGCGGGTTCACCAGTTAAACCTGTTTTCAGATAATGGAGCTTTTCGACAAGCGAGAGCGAATCGTTATCGATGATGAGCGATTGGAAGAGATCACGGAAATTCGGCCAATTGTTGTATTCTCCCGAGAATACAGGGAGCACTATTTTCGGTAAGGCTCACAGCGACGAAGGATTTTGTGATGGAATGCTCTTACCGGCAGAAAGTTCCTCCTGGTGGTCCAGTAAAAATGCCTTTTGAGACAGGTATGCTTCTTCCCCGATGCTGATATAGTCTTCCTGGAAGTAGAAATGCTTCGATTCCTTGGAGAAGACATCTAAGAGCTCGTTGTGAGTTTCGGAAAAAGCG